AGAGAGAGGTAGGGAGGTGGAGGTGAGAGAAGATGAGAGGAAGACACACACACACACACAACACACACACACACACACACACACACACACACACACACACACAGAAGCAGTTATCACTACGCCACACTCACAAGCTAAACACCTCCTGAATATCAACCCATTTATGGCCATATAATTCTCAGCCTTGCATCGTTTCCCCCAGATAACCCAACCACCACCCACCCACCACCCACCCACCCACCATACCCACCCACCCACCATACCCACCCACCACTATACCCACACATCCACCATACCCACCAACCATACCCACCACCATAGCCACTCTCCATACCCGCCCACCCACTCACCACCACACCACCCAGCCACCCCATACACCCACCCACCACACACCCACCCACCCACTCCCACCCACACACCCACTCACTCACCCATCCACTCACCCACTCACCCACCATACCCACCCCACCTCACCACCATGCCACATCCACTCCTTCACCCACCACCCACCACAATACCACCCACCCACCAACCCACCCACCCACCCACCATACCCACCCACCCAACCCACCTCACTCCACCCACCACTAACTCACTCACCACCCACCCACCCACCCACCCACTAATAGATGCCTGATCCTGGCAACAGTTGGGGAAGCACTACTTAGAGCCGGGCACAACGCAGGAGCTTCCTAGTCTCTTGAGAATGTGGTGAGGATGTGGCAAAGATGTGGTAAGGATGTGGCAAGGATGAGGTGAGGATATGGCGAGGATGTGGTGAGGATGATGTGGTAAAGATATGGTTTGGATGTGGTGAGGATGAGGTGTGGTAAGGATGTGGTAAGGATGTGCAAGGATGAGGTGAGATGTATCGAGGATGATGTGGTAAAGATATGGTTGGATGTGGTGAAGATGAGGTGATGAGGATGTAAGGATGTGCAAGGATGAGGTGAGGATGTGCGAGGATGATGTGGTAAAGATATGGTTTGGATGTGGTGAGGATGAGGGTGATGAGGATGTGGTAAGGATGTGTGAGGATGCAAGATAGGGGGAGGATGTAGTAAGAATGTGGTGAAGATGTAGGATGGATGTGCAAAGATGTGGTAATGATGTGTTGAGGATGGTGAGGATGTAGCAAGGATATGGTATGATATAGAGGATGTGACAAAGATGTGGGAAGGATGTGACATGGATAAGGTGAGGATGTGGCAAGAATGTGGTGAGGATGTGCGAAGATTGTGGTGAGAATGTGGTGAAGATGTGGTAAGAATGTGGCAAAGGTGTGGTAAGGATGTGGCAAGGATGAGGTGAGGATGTGGCAAGGATGTCTGTCTCTACTTTGATAGAGATAGAAACAGAGAAAGGAGAGAGAGAGAGAGAGAGAGAGAGGCGGGAAATGCCGATCTAAATATAGCCTTCATGTCCTTATTTGTTCTCCTGGGTGTTCTGTTGACCTGTTTTCCTGGGTGTCCTTTTTCTCTGTTCTCCTGGGGGTGTTCTGTTGACCTGTTCTCCTAGATGTCCAGTTGGCCTGTTCTCCTGGGTGTGTTCTGTTGGCCTGTTCTCCTGGGTGTTCTGTTGACCTGTTCTCCTGGGGGTGTTCTGTTGACCTGTTCTCCTGGATGTCCAGTTGGCCTGTTCTCCTGGGTGTGTTCTGTTGGCCTGTTCTCCTGGGTGTTCTGTTGACCTGTTCTCCTGGGGGTGTTCTGTTGACCTGTTCTCCTGGATGTCCAGTTGGCCTGTTCTCCTGGGTGTTCTGTTGGCCTGTTCTCCTGGGTGTTCTGTTGTCCTGTTCTCCTGGGTGTGTTCTGTTGGCCTGTTCTTGTTGGTGTTCTGTTGTCCTGCTCTCCTGGGTGTTCTGTTGTCCTGTTCTTCTGGGTGTTCTGTTGTCCTGTTCTCCTGGGCGTGTTCTGTTTGGTCTATTCCTGGGCGTGTTCTGTTGTCCTGCTCTCCTGGGTGTTCTGTTGTCCTGTTCTTCTGGGTGTTCTATTGTCCTGTTCTCCTGGGCGTGTTCTGTTTGGTCTATTCTCCTGGGCGTGTTCTGTTGTCCTGCTCTCCTGGGTGTTCTATTGTCCTGTTCTCCTGGGCGTGTTCTGTTGGCCTGTTCTCCTGGGTGTTCTGTTGGCCTGTTCTCCTGGGTGTTCTGTTGTCCTGTTCTCCTGGGCGTTCTCCTGGGTGTTCTGTTGTCCTGTTCTTCTGGGTGTTCTGTTGTCCTGTTCTCCTGGGTGTTCTGTTGTCCTGTTCTTCTGGGTGTTCTGTTGTCCTGTTCTCCTGGGCGTGTTCTGTTTGGTCTATTCTCCTGGGTGTTCTGTTGGCCTGTTCTGCTGGTGTGTTCTGTTGTGCTGTTCTCCTGGGTGTTCTGTTGGCCTGTTCTGCTGGTGTGTTCTGTTGTCCTGTTCTCCTGGGTGTTCTGTTGGCCTGTTCTGCTGGTGTGTTCTGTTGTCCTGTTCTGCTGGGTGTTCTGTTGGCCTGTTCTGCTGGTGTGTTCTGTTGTGCTGTTCTCCCCGGTGTTCTGTTGGCCTGTTCTGCTGGTGTGTTCTGTTGTGCTGTTCTCCTGGGTGTTCTGTTGGCCTGTTCTGCTGGTGTGTTCTGTTGTCCTGTTCTGCTGGGTGTTCTGTTGGCCTGTTCTGCTGGTGTGTTCTGTTGTCCTGTTCTCCTGGGTGTTCTGTTGGCCTGTTCTGCTGGTGTGTTCTGTTGTGCTGTTCTCCTGGGTGTTCTGTTGGCCTGTTCTGCTGGTGTTCTGTTGTCCTATTCTCCTGGGTGTTCTGTTGTCCTGTTCTCCTGGGCGTGTTCTGTTTGGTCTGTTCTCCTGGATGTTCTGTTGTCCTGCTCTCCTGGGTGTTCTGTTGTCCTATTCTCCTGGGTGTTCTGTTGGCCTGTTCTCCTGGGTGTTCTGTTGTCCTGTTCTCCTGGGTGTTCTGTTGGCCTGTTCTGCTGGTGTGTTCTGTTATCTAATCATTCGAAAAATTAATCACAGGTAACCAATCCCTCATTGCAATTAATTACAGGTATCCAATCCTTTATTAT